CAGCTCAGGTGAAGTTAAACAAAAACCAACACCTACAAACAAAAGTCACTAATACTAATTACACAACCTAACATAAGCGTATATAATATTAAATTTTAAATTCAAAAATCAGAATTAAAATAAATCGACAATGGCATTTTAAGAGCGCAATAAATAAAAACAAATAAGTACAAAAGGTATTTAATATAATGAAAGGTAGAGTGCACTTGTTTGTTTGTTATTTGCTAATAATTCAATTAAAAAACAATTTTTAATAAAATTTAATGACCGCACCAAAACAAATACCGAAATGAAGTGCGCTTTTAGGCGCGGAATGGCTTTAATTATGAAAATGAAATAAAGAGTTAATGAAACTGTGGTCTGCAGTTTGCAGTTTGCAGTTTGTAGTTTGCGATTCGTGAACGGATATTTGCATTGCATTTAAGTGAAATCAAATAGAAAATTTAACAAAATTATTCGCGGGCTATTTTCGGAAGAGCTCAACTCAATTATCAGATTTTGAATGCCCATTGTGTACTTCCCTGCAGCACTTCACGGAGTTGCCCTTCAGTTGAATTTAAAATTTCATTCGAAATGCATAATTTGTTCGGAGTACTGAGGAATCGTTAACGCTTACAGTAATTTTTATTTCATTTTATTTTATTTAATTAAAAATTAAAAAATAAGTGAATTATTTCATTCGCATAAATGTTTTTTAATTCGTTTTAAAATGTTCATTTTCACTTAAGCATATGAAATACTATTATAACAATGATTACCATTCACACACACACACATATGTATATGTAGACATGAAACAATAATTAAATTTTAATAGGATTATTTAAAAAAAAAAAATTGTGATATATTATAATTTCAATCAATAAGCAAAAATAATGAAGTCCGAATCAAAAGGTGTAAAACATTAACATAAAGGATATTTTTGATTACATTTTAATTTGAAAATAGTTTTATAATAAGTTTTTTCTGTTATATATTATTGTATTTAAAAAAAAACGAGTTAATTAATTATAAAATATACATAAAATTAAAATGAAACACTTGACATCTTTCTATCTTTTTTAGTCCCCGCCCAACTGCTGAAACAATCTGTCAGTAAATCGCTTTATAGTACCGAAACCATTCATACAACATTGGGAATTTTAATATTCTAATAATGTTCAACACAGGTAAAAGCACCCAAGTTGCATATTGCTATCTCTTTCTAATGGTATTTTGCATTTCAAAATAGTTTAATTCAAATTTCTCTGAAAAACTCGAGGGACCCAAAATAAAAATATATATGTTTTGATATTAACTTTTTTGCTCAACCGATCACTAATAATGCATAGACTCCTACCATAAATCAGTTTCTTCGAAGATGGGGTGTTCTTGTCCGTTTACTATAAATTAAAATGTAAGGAAATCGGATAAACCATTCCGACAATGGTCGGTTTGTCGACAAATAAAGCACTTCCCCTTCACATCACTGAAAAAAAACCAAAAAGAATCATAAATACTTTATTCAAACTTCTCTGAAAGACTCGACTGACCCAAAATAAAACTATATATGTTTTGATATTAACTTTTTTGCTCTTTGTAACCTATCATCTAGAGTTCATATACTTTTATCATAAACCAGTCTCTCCGAAAATGAGGCGTTTTAGTCTGTATACTACATATTAAAATTTTAGGAAGTTAGGCACACGATACTCGGTTTGACGGTGTATAAAGCATTCCCCCTTCTCATCACAAAAAAAAAGCGTAACCCCTAAACCATGCTTACTCATCAAAATCCGCATAATATCACTACTTTTTGAGCAACATTTATACTGCTTACTGTTTCGATACACTGAGAAAACTGACAGAACGTTGCATTGCAAAAAAGCTATTTTCTACCAATATTTATTTATTTTATAACTAACAAAAATACCAATTATTGAAATATAAGAACTTTAAATGTGTTATAGGATACAAATATATGCAAATCTGATATTTTATTAATTTTATTACAAGTAAAAATAAAATTCAAATCAGTATTATAAACATTTGAAAATACTCATAAGTACCCAATACCTTGGGTATCCCCATTTAATTTACAAAATACATATCAAAAAAGAAATTAAATTATTGTTATGCAGAAACAAAAAGTTTTAAAACAAACATAATGAGAATTATATTTTCGTGAATATATAAAATAAATTAAACATAATATTTGGCAAATTATTTAATGAAGGCGATTATGTAGAGTTTATATGATAGCAAGACTCGTGTAAATTTAGTTGGATTGCAATTTATTGGTATCCTTCTAGAAAAAAACATAAAAGAAAAATAAAATTACTTAAAAAAAACAAACTACTCCTAAAATAAAGTACACTTTTAACAAATTCTATAATAATATAAAAAACATCAGACTTGCAAACTGAAATAGATTTTAATAATAAATTAATTTGCTTATATATATATATAAAATTAATATGTAAATTAATTTGATATAGTTAAATTACAAAATTCATAGATGTGCAGAAGCTTTCAAAAAGCTCAGTTTCGCAAGAAAAAGCTTTCTCTCACATATTTAAACTAAGAGCGTTAGTAAATATTTGATGGTTGATTTTGCATTGATTCTGACAAGAAAGAGACTTTATTTCATATTGACATCAATAGAGAATTCTTTCTTACACAAATTCTCTTGAAAACTATTTTCTTAAAAGCTAAATTTTAATTTAGGCTACAGACTACAGCAGATTTAACTTATTATGATATGTTAAGTAAGTATAGATATTAGGCATTTGAAATTTAAAAGTTTGAAACTGAAAAAAAATATTTTTTTGATTACCAATATTCACAGCTTAAAAGAGAACTATCAAGTAAAACTCAATCTAGTTAGAATAGAAATAAACAGGGTACCAGCTTCCAACGGAGTGCAGCACTACGACCATAGTTGATCATTTGTGCTGACAAACTAAATCCAGTTATATCCAATTATAATAACATAAAAGAAATAATATCAATAATATTATAACATTTTACGGTATATAATGTTAAGACGTTGAGACTAAATTTTTGAAAAATGTCCTTAGCCCTTGATTCCTTAGCCCTAAGATTTCGACGATGCTATGGCTAAGTATAATAAATTAACTATTTTCTTTCTACTTCTATAGCAGTTAGCAATAATTTATTGCTAGTTCTGAGCTAATTTTAGAAAATTCAATAAAAATCAAAATAATTAAAAAAAACCTTGATAAGTGCCCCGTTCTTATTAATTTCCTCATTTGCAATATATGTACTTACGGGGAAACTTTATTTGATTAAACTTTATTAAGTAAAGTGTTTATTAATCATTTTGTTTTTTTACGGGTAATTGTTTAATAGTTAAATAATAAACTTTTCAAAAAATTTTTATTTGTTTTTAAAATATCTTATTTTAAAGTGTTTATTAAAACTATTATAAATAATAAAAATTAAAATTATTAGAAATAACTAAAAAATATTTATTAAAAATTAAATTAAAAAAAAATTAACAATATTATTAAAATTAAATTAATAAAAAATAATAAATCAACGAAATGCTTTATTTCAACATAAAATATCGATTAAGCCTAATGTTCTTTAACAATTTAACTATTTTAAAATAATTGAAAATGAATATCCCCATTTATTAAGTGCGAGCCTAACGGGATTATTTTTCCGTCATTGTAGATTGAATAATCATCTAACGAAGCTACGAATTCAATCTAACTCATACTGCAGATACTGTAGAGAAGAGTGAGAAATTACATATCATGTGCTTGGGGAGTGCCCGATGCACTGATGCGCCATCGGAAGAAACACTTCCTAGCATTTCATGACTCATAAGGATTCAAGGCTAATAAAGCTAGGCTCTATATTGTCCTTCATTGAAGAAATCGGACTTGAAGAAACACTCTAATTCGGCTAATGGGCACAATAGATCTTTTAGTTCGCAGTGCACTACTTCTTTTCAAATAATAATAGGTAAAAGCTTATAAGATAAGAGTCAAGTGTGAAGTACTTGTTTCAGTATTAAATTATTACAAATATTCTTCTGTCATAAATTTAATTCGCAATATTATATATCACATTAAAAAGCAAAATAAATTTTGTTCACATGACTGCACTGATTCGAGGCAATTAAATGATATTTTTACTTGAATATAAAATAAAAAAAAACTGAATAAGTGTCATGGGACATATTGTTTTATTTTTATCTCCGTGTATATAAAATACATACACGAAGTGCTTCAATAACATTCCACATTAAAAACAAAAACGAAAACAAAAATAAATTTATTATCCTTCAAATGCAACAATCACAATCACAATCACAATCCACACTCACTCAACCGTTTCAGATAACACATAAAGTACACTGAGAGAAACGAACACGCAACCACTAAAACAGCAATAAACTCTACATATATTCTGTTGTTAACAATAATACGAAACAATTAAATCGAAATCAAAATATTTATGTTAAACTAATAATATTCCATCAGTCCATAATTCTCAATAACAGTAACATTTTCTGTTTTACACGCTAGAATTTTTTTCAGTTTCTGTTGACTTTTACATGTAAACTTTTTATCCTTAATCTTTGCCTACTCGCACGACGAATCTACAATATAACAATGTTTACTTTTCAATGGACATGCAATGAGCGTAGGAGCATAGGAGCCTTGGTTTTTATTCCTCAGGCCAGCCCAAGTCCTCACCGACCAATTCGTAAAATCGCTGATTGTGTTCGGCAAAAAATTTACGCAATTTGGAAACGACGACGGGATCGACGTGAGGATGTTTGCGTCCCTTGGTCTCACGCAAGCATCTGTCGCCGCTGTCGTAACGCAAGCAGTAGAATCCTTTTGTCTCGTTGAAGTAAAAATGGCTGCTGGTGACACGA